TTAAGAAACTGCTAAAGAATCCTTACAAGTTACCTTTGATGATCGTACGATGACCCTACGCCTGTCCCTTCACCTCCAATAGATAGGGCTACCTACCAATTAATGGTGTGGATAGCACTATCTCTAAAGGAGGAGGAAAATAATAAGAACGACCTTGAGTGGGTAGGATACTTTTAATCGCTTGCTCACAAGTTTTTCTCACGAATACTTATCACACATCACTTTCAAAATAACGAATATTTTCAAAACACTTTGTACGCATTCTTGAGGACCGATACAAGAATCATTACAAAGTTCTCCTTACATTGGCTCTTCAAAAATATTTTCAAAAACACACGCACACAAAAAGAAAATTTTCAAAGTGAGCTAAGCGATTAAAATCCCATAGATAACTACAAATGAAAAGGGTGCTAACATCTTCCCTTTTCATAATTTACCCCCCGAACTCAAAATCTTTAAGGTCTTTCCTGTTCTTTTCACCCTTTCCTTATTGGATAAAAGAAAAGTCGATGGCCACTCTTGCTATCCGCATATTTGTGATAAAGCACAAAACAAGTCAGTTCTCCCACCGTATTATAACATGAAGTTTGGTGGAAATGGGGTTTGGCAGGTCTGGTGCGCGCTGACCATGTGCATGCATGCCTTGCATGTTAACAACTTTAAGAACCAAAGTTAAAACCTCCATATCTCACTCAAAAATGAGGCAAATTATGTGATTCAAAGAGCAAAATGAAGCTCATACATCTAATTATAAATCCATTCTTTCCATGTTTTCAATTGAATCTTGAATCTCAATAAAATCATGATGAATGCGACATACCAAGTGTTTGTAGAAATGATTTGCCTAGGCGTGCAAGCATGCTAGCACACCTTCAGCTTTGTGCCTTAAAGTTCCAAACCCAATATCTCATAAATACTTCACTTTTGGGATTGGAACCCACAGTGAAAACTTGTAGGTTTTTATCTCCTCTTTCCAACCATATAAGGTTTGCATGTTTCCAATAAAAATTGAAGGAGTTATGGTCATCCAAAATTCAATACTATGGATACTTAGAGAAAATTCACAAAAATTCCCAAATGAATTCTTACACAAGTTATCTTCAAATCAACCTTTCTTTTTTATTTTATGAAAAAATTGACCATGAAATATAAAAATAGGATCTTTCAATTGCCGGATGACAAAACTTCCACTTGGTCAACTTTGACTTTGGTTGACTTTAGTCAAAAATGACTGTTTTTCCCCTTTTGATCACTTGAACCTCTTTCAATCAAAATGGATGATCAATCTCTCACTCATAGGTGCTCATTTAAATGTAGAGAAGCATGTAATTAAGTTTGGGTAAAAAAGTTAAAGAACTCCTAATAAAAAAATCGAAACCCTAATTTTAGCTCTCTGTGTTAGGAGATAATGATCAAGCTTCAAAACCCCAATTCCTCTGATCATGTTGAGAAATTGTTTGAACAAGCATGTTTCCAATGATGATGAAAAGATGATACTTCACAAATTTGTCTCCTGCAAGCCTCAAACACTCCATCTGACCAGAACCCTAATCTCAAGAGATACATATGAGAAAAGTGATTCAAGAATCAACACTTGTAATCCCCAACTTCTGATGAGTCAAAGAGACAATTGAGATGTCTTGAGGTATGAGGAACCCTTGTAGCTTGAGAAATCCAAAGATTACGAGAATGAGACCCTTCTTCCACTGATTGACAACCCAATAAACTTTATTAACTTGAAGAAGGACTTAGTAACCAATATACCTCGATCCTATCATAATGTATGAATGCATATGATGAAACATAAACCTCTAAAGTTCTAAAATCAAAGGGGTAAATTTTGGGGTGCAACACACTGAAACCTGAGATGAATGCGAGCATGTATTGCATTGTATGTATTAACGTGGAAATTAAACATGAACTGCCTCTGACTGATGTATTTAGAGTCTTAAATGGATGTTTAAGTTTGAACCATACAAGGAATGGACATCAGTTTGCTTTTAGAATCAAATTGATGTCTATTTCTTGTATGCATTATGAACTGTATGTTATGTTTTGAATTGAAATAATTTTGTTGTACTGATGTAGAGGCTTATGTTAAATGATTTTTTCATGTTGGTGTTGCATTGGTCTTGTGGAATAATGGCTATCTAAGTTGTTTGACCATGAAGAAATCTAGATCATGGTGAAGATGAAGTGGAATGGATTGAGACATTAAAGAGACACGGATCTATAAGGGATTTAAAATTCTTGGTTAGAGTCAAATTTAATGATCAATTGTTGACCAAAAGCCAACAATTGACCAAAAAGTCAACTATGCTATTTTTTTTGTAAATTTTCTTTTGCAATAGCTTGTATCTTGTGATGTAACCAACGAGTGCTTGTAACTTAATTTGAACCCATTTTGAATCCATTTTTGAATGAAATTTTTCACATTTAAATTATCCTTTGTCTTAAGTAGCACACCACCAACAAAAGTCTTGTTATCATGTATCAATCCCCACTTACCCAATAACTTGCACCATAAGTAACAAGAGAGGGAACAAATCCTAATGAACCATCTGATCCCAAAATTGCCCATAAGTTGATTGATCAAAATAATTAAACTTATATTCAAACCTTTGATCTAACATAATGAAAATGAAGATGGAATGATGAAATATCCAATGTATACAGATGAAACATAACACATGCATATGGAATGATGAAATATCCAATTTATACAGATGAAACTTAATACATGCATGATGAATGATATGATTAGATGAATTTAGCATAAGCATGATGAAAAATAAAAGGGTAGCGCAAATTTTGGGGTATGACAGACGATATTTTATATTAGATTCTGCCTGAGGAAACTCCAATTCTCTCATGAGAGTTTAGAAAAGTATGTTCAGTGGGACTGTTAGTCCCTCTAGTGAGGTTATTGTGAGCCTTGACGGTGAGGCGTCAAACCTCTTGGGTGAGACATATACCAAGCTCTCAAACATGACTTTAAGTTAAGTTTCTTTGGCTAGAAATTGGACATGCCTCTTGGGAGAAACTTTACGTAAAAAATTTCTCGAGGAAACTACAAATCCCTCAGGCAGAGAGTTTAGATAAGCATGTTCATTGAGACTTTAATCCATTAGGAGTGGTTATAGTGAGCCTGGTTAGTGAGACTTCAGGCCCCTCACGTAAGGCGTTAGACCTCTCAGGTGGGACTTATATCAAGCCCTCATAGAAGACTTTAATTTAAGTATCTTGTGTTAGACTTTGGCCACACCTTTTGGGTGATACGTTATGTTAGATGTCGCTCGAGGAAACTCCAAATCCCTCAAATGGGAATTTTAGATAAGTCAGCTCGATGGGACTCTTAATCCTTCAAGCGAGGATTTAGTGAGCCTAGATGATGAGACTTCATGTCCCTTAGGCTAGGCGCTAGTCTCTTAGGATAGACGTTGATCATGTTTCCCTAAAGAGTGGATATGATCTTGGTGAGGGTGGAAATGATCTTCGCTTGGAAGTCTTGTATGTTTCAATAGCCTTTTTAGGCGACAAGGATCGTCGCCTAGTAGTCTTAAATATTTCATAAGCCTTTTAAGGAGGAAATGATCTTCGCTTAAAAGTCCAACACCTTCAAATATCAGTTTAAGGTGGAAAGGAAGTTTGCTTGGAAGTCAAACATATTTCAATAGATTTTTAAGGAAACAAGGATCTTCTCCTGGAAGTCTAGCACCTTCGAATTACCTTTTAAGGAGGAAAGGATCTTTGTTGGGAAGTATAGCATATTTCAATAGCCTTTAGAGGCAGAAAGGATCTTTGTATAAAATTCCATCATATGAAACATCATGAAAAATGTATTCCTTGTATATAAATATTCAAAGATTCACACGTAGGCTGTAAATCTTCACCCTAAAAATTACAAATAATATAATTGTAATAGTATTTATGGAAGATGGAGTCACAAGTCTTGGGTATAACTCTTCCATCTAATTCTCCCAGCTTGTAGGCCCCATGAGGGAGCTTCTAAAATATACGATATGACCTATTCTAGTTAATTTGTAGTTATACTTATTGTGTGGGTATAACCACTTTCCCCAAGACCAAGTCAGCTTCTCGCATATCCCATGTCACGACTTTAGAGTTTTACCTTCGGGCGACTTTATTCTTGATGGAAAATTCTAGGATGTGGATGACTTCTCTCAACTAATAGACCATATCCGCGATAATTTCCACATGCCTTGTTTACCTGCTTGTTAAATTGGGGACATCCCTATCATGGTGTGTTAATCTCTAAAGACAACATAGATTTTTTCCCATAGACCATCATGAATGGAGTTTCATTGGTAGTAGAGTAGGGGTGGTATGATATGACCAAAGTTTGAACCTGAGATTCCATATAAAACTTCCTTACAATCATACTAATTGATTATGAAAATAAGGAATAATAATTTATTTAATGTCCATAATAAATATGGAGGATTAAAAAATATTTTATTTTTTATAAAATGGTGTGAATAGAAATATTTTAAAGATATTTGGTGATAAAATTTGTTATTAATCCTACTTACGAATTAACTTTTTATTAATTATGCTTCAAATATTTTATTTGTTAAGTTTTTCGGCTAAATCACAATATGCATTATAGTGTGAGATTTTTATAATATTTAATTAATAAAATGGAATAATTTTAATTGAACATGATTAAGGAGGAAATTATATAAAATAATTAAAATAAAAACTATTTGTTATACGCTTGAACATATGTATGAATAACTTAATATACCTGCAAAAGAAATATCATCAACTAATGACAACATATAGATTACCAACATATAAAATTTTACGTTATGAAATAACGATTTATATGATTAGAAACTAAATGAACCAAGTGTAGTAGAAAAAAAGTTGAGTAAACTCAATAAATATGATTTTATTGATATGTTTTTCTTACACAAATCAAGTATAGAATTAAAAAAAAACTTATTCTTTATATCTTATTCAATGTCTCTACTAACTTAAGTAGATGGAGGTTTAATTGGGGAAGGGGTTGGAGTTGATGGCTGATGGTGATGATGTTTCTTGGATTTCTTGTGATAATGATCCAAATCAAGAGAATTAATCGAGGAGATAGATGTCCAATGACTTGGGGAAGGGGTTGGGGTTGATGGATGATGTGGATCATGTTTCTTGTGATGATGATCTAGATCTAGAGAATCAATTAAGGAGGTAGGTGTCCAATGACTTGGGGAAGGGGTTGGGGCTGATGGGTGATGGCGATGATGTTTCTTGCGATGATGATCTAGATCAAGAGAATCAACAAGGAAGGAAGATGATGGTTGGATAGGAGAAGGGGTTGGGGTAGAAGGATGATGAGGAGGATTTTTCTTGTGATCAAGATCTATATATAGTGAATCAATCGAGGGGGTAGATCTCCAATGACTTGGGGAAGGGGTTGGGGCTGATGGGTGATGGCGATGATGTTTCTTATGATGATGATCTAAATCAAGAAAATCAATAGCGAAGGAAGATGAAGGCTTGATAGGCGAAGGGGTTGGGGTTGATGGATGACGGGGAGGATTTTTCTTGTGATCAAGATCTAGATATAGAGAATCAACCGAGGAGGTCGATGTCCAATGACTTGTGGAAGGGGTTGGGGCCGGTGGGTGATGGCGATGGTGTTTCTTATGATGACGATCTAGATCGAGAGAACCAAAATAGTGAGATGATGGTGATTGAACATGGGATGGAGTTGGGGCTGATGGGTGATGTTTTGGGTGTTTTTTGTGAGTATAGACCTCTTTAGCATAGCCCATGAAAGAGCTTACTTGGAGTAAGATTAATACTAAGATTGAAATTTTAGCCATGTCTCTAGGCAAGATACACAAACCAAAAGTGATGTAGAAGTGATATTGATATGTTTTGAGTTCCCTAGAGATATTATTTATAGGAGCGTTTGTTAAGAATCCATGCCAAAATATACTATATATTTAATAATTTTCTATTTTATGTACTTATAGTATTTGTACAAAGATATTAATAAATAGACAAGTTGCAAAAATAAAAATTATATTTAATCTTTAAATATTTTAAAAATTATTTTTTTATCATATTTATAAGAAAAACTTTTTTTTTTTAAAATTTATTAGATGATTAATGTATTTTATCTATATAAGAAACCAAATACATTCAATATTAAATGTATCTAAGTAGTAAAATTTCTCTTGTAATTATGACCAAAGGGATTATTTTTTTAGTGCAAAAAAGACTATTTATTAATAAACTCTTTATTTATTTCTTTTATTATATTTTAATCATATGAATTTTCATAAGTTATACTACATTCAATGTAATTTACTCCTACGAAACATTTATATATTCATAATATTTATAAATCGATATATTAATATATTATAAAGAAAAAAATTAAAAAACTTTATTTAAATATTTGTAAACTTTAAATATTATATTAGTAATATGATTAATATATATTAACTTTCTTATTTTTTTCACACATTTTAAATTAGAATATGTATATTTTTGTATGTACTTTACCATAATTAAAAACATATTTAATAGTGAGTCAAACTAATTTTTTTTTAAAAAGAAATTCATCTCAATAATATAATAATATAATAGTATATTCTATTTTTTAAATAAAGTTTTTGATTTATAAAACTCAATAAATTGTATACATTAATGCATAAATTAAAATAAAAACATTCGCTAGGAAATTAACCATGTATCAACAATTTATGCACATTTAATTCAACTAACACATAACAGTTAAACTATCCCATCCCCCAATATATATAAAAGAAAAATAAATAAATTAACAGTAAAAAAATAATTTTAGAGAAATTACAAAAAAAAGTTTTTATAAAACTTAAAAAATTAAATATATTATTTTAAAAATAAAAAAAATTAAATTAATTTCATGCATGGATGAATATCCATCCATTAAAAAAGTGTTAATGGATGGATTGGATAAGTTTTATTTTTAATGGATGGATTGGATTGGATTGAATTTTTTTGAAATTTTTTTAATGGATTGTTAATAGATTAAGGGATTATTTTGGTCCATCCGTTAACAATTTAATCCATATCCATCAAATTCATACACTTTGTCACCCATAATTTTAAGTTGACATTGTGAATAGAACATTACCATTCTAAGTTAACACTTTGATAGATAATTCACATTACTATTTTAAGTTGATATTTTAGATAGTGTTTCTAAATTATAGTAATAGTTTTTTAATTTATTATAACACGCCCTTTGAAATATTTATTACGGTTCTCTATTGAAGTCTTGTCAAGGAGAATCTTATGAGAACATATGTTGCCTTGTTAAAAACATTATTAGGAAAATCCATATGGATAAAAACTTTAATATGGAAAAAATAGTACAACAATATTCTCCCCTTAATAAAAAAACATTTAGTTATTTTTCAAAGATATCGAACGTGACGCATTCCAATACTTTGTACATGCTTCTTAAAAATTGATGTAGGGAGAGCCTTTGTGAAGAGATCTGTTACATTATCACTCAAACAAATATATTAATCATCAACCTATTTGTTTCTTTTGAGTTATTGTTTGAATAAGAAGAACTTTGGAGAGATATGTTTGGTTATATAACTTCTGATATAACCTTTTTTCATCTGGATAACACATGCAACATTGTCTTCATGTAAAATTGTTGGATTCTTATAAATTAGTAACCAGAAGCTACTTAAATATGTCAGGTCACCGATCATAACCATTTATACTCTTTTCTTGCTTCATGAAGAGCAATTATTACAGCATGATTTGAAGAAATTGCTACAAGTGTTTGATTTTTAAAGCTCTATTATATTATAGTATCACCATATGCAAACACATATCTAATCTGTAATTTAGCATTATGTGGATCTGAAAAATTTCTCACATTTTCATAACAAAGCAAAACTGGTTTTTTATTGTTAGAATAAAACAAAGCTAGGTCAGATGTACCTCAAAGATATCATAATATATCTTTTATTCCATTCCAATTTCTTTTTATAGCACATGAACTAAATCATTCTAGTAAATTCACTGCAAAAGCTATATCAGATCTTGTACAATTAGCAAGGTACATTTGTCCTCCAATTGCACTAAGGTATGATACTTTAGATCCATGATCTTCTCCATTACCTTCCTTAGGTCTAAACATATCATTTTCAACATTAAGTGATATACCCATCATTGGGGTACTCAAAGGGTTTTTCCTATCCATGTTAGACCTTTTTAAAACCATTTCTCTATAATTTGATTGATGTACCAATAAACAATTTTTAGTATACTCAATTCTTAGTGTAATACGGTGGGAGAACTGACTTGTTTTTGCGTTTTATCGCAAATGTCGCGGATAGCAAGAGTCGCCACTAAAATGTTTTTTATCCAATAAGGAAAGGATGAAAAAAAACAGGAAAGACCTTTTAAGATTTTGAGTTCAGGGGGTAGGTTATGAAAAGGGAAGGTGTTAGCATTCTTTTCATCTGTAATTATCTACGGGCTCTTAATCACTTAGCTCACTTTTTTTTGAAAACTTGCTTTGTGTTGTGTATTTAAAAATATTTTGAAAAGTTGCCAATGTTTGGCGAAACTTTGTAATGATTCTCGTGTCGGTCTTCTAGAATGCGTACAAAGTGTTTGTTTGTAAATATTTATTGAAAAGTGTGATCATGAGAAGTTTTTTTGTTTTGAAGAGCTTTGTGAGCAAGCGATTAGGAGTTCTATTCTACTCAAGGTCATTCTTGTATTTTCCCCCTCCTTTAAATAGTGCTATCTGTATCATTAGTTAGTAGGAAGCCATATTGTTGGATGTGAAGGGAAAGGCGAGGGTCATCGTACAGTCATCGAAGGAAACTAGTAAGGACGCTTTAGCAATTTTCGTAAGGGACTAGATCATTTACCGAAAGGCAATGTCGAAAGGGTCATCGAGGGGGACTATGATCTTTGAATCGATGGACTTTGCTAAAGCGTCCCCACGTTCGAGGGACATGACTGTTTATTTTCCGAAGGTAACAAGGGAGGGTATCCTAGAGGTGCAAGTGTGTGAGTGATTTGTATTCAGTTATTTTATCTTCGCAGTTAGGGTTTTCTAACGATTCATTTTAGTCTTTTCATGCAAACCCTAATTACTAACAGCAATATAGTAAAATAATAACAAGAAAAGTAAAGTGTGGAAAATAAAGGTTCCTACGCTATTACATGGCCTTGGGGAAGTTACATAATAGTAGAGCGAAAAATAAAAACCCTAAGTTATTAAAACCCGTAAACAATTACATCATAATGAAAAAAGGAAATGCGAGATATAAAAATTACATTCGTGAAAGCGCAGTCGATCTGAAAACGTGAAAATAGGGAAGAAAATATTTTTGGTAATTTTTTATGAAAAAAATTAATTGTGATTATTTAATTAAGAAATACCTAAAAACCCTAATTGATTTTATTAAAAGAATGTCAATTAATTTAATTTAAAACCTTAAAAATCTTGTTAATTTTAATTTAAAAAATTAATTAATTTAATTAATTAATTAAGAAAAAGGTAATTAAAATTAAACCTAATTAATTTTAACCTAAAACTAATATTTTAGTATTTTAATTAAATAATAAAAATAAATAAGTAAAAGCAAAAAAAGAAAAATAGAAGAAAAAGAGTTTGAGTCTGATATAACAAAAAGGGGAGGTTGTGAATAGAAATGAAGGTCTAGGCCCACTAGTACCAGCGTTGGATCTAGTGTGGTGACTCCATGTGGTTCACCATGTGCTTGCGCGTATGGGACGTTGATATTGGCTGATGATGATTATACGACTGTAGGGCAAGGGTGCACGGTTGATGCTATGAAGAGCGTTGCACTTGATATGTGAAAATCAGAAAATATGAAAAAAAGCACCAAAGGTAAGGATCAAACCCACGCCCTGGCATAGTAAAACTTTAACGTGCGCGCTTCTACCACTGGGGTGGCTATACATCTTTTTATTTAAGTGAAACGAATTAAATATAAAATAAACAAAATTGCATGGACTGGAGAAGCGCCGAACCCTAACTCTGGTTGTCTTCTCCGGTGATTCTTTTTTCTTGTTCCTGCAAAATAAACATAGTTAGTGATCCAAGGGTACCCTACTCCCCTAAATTAACCCCTGCGAGTTCAATGGAACCATGTGCTTGCGCGTATGGGACGTTGATATTGGCTAATGATGATTATGCGGCTGTAGGCCAATGGTGCGCGGTTGATGATATGAAGAGCGTTGCACTTGATATGTGAAAAATCAGAAAATATGAAAAAAAGCACAAAAGGAAAGGATCGAACCCACGCCCTGGCATAGTAAAACCTTAACGTGCGCGCTTCTACCACTGGGGTGGCTATACATATGTTTATTTAAGTGAAACGAATTAAATATAAAATAAACCAAATTGCATGGACCGGAGAAGCGCCGAGCCCTAGCTCTGGTCGTCTTCTACGGTGATTCTTTTTTCTTGTTCCTGCAAAATAAACATAGTTAGTGATCCAAGGGTACCCTACCCCCCTAAATTAACCCCTGCGAGTTCAATGAAACCATTATTTTTTACTAAAACATGTTCATTTATGAGATATGTCAAAAATAATATGAATCAGACCAAACATGGCAGTCCACGATTCAACCATTATGGGGATCATGCAATGGTCTCGTCCTGCACATGGATATTTCAGAAACATATTAGTGGTGTTAGTTTCAATTAAAGCGTGGAGAAAACAAAAAATATGAATTCACAAATTAATGGTAATCGGAGATGCATGGGATGTAAGTTTCGTGTGCTTTGGATCATCACAAATGATTCATTCTTACCCAATACCACCTC